TTTTTTTTTTTTTTTTGGTTTATATGATTGTTTGTCGTGAGGGATTTTTGCGTAATTAGTTGCGTAATTAGTTTCTTTTTCTGTTATATGATTGTTTGCCAAGAGATTTTCAAATTGCAGGTTGTTGCGAGAGATTTTTGGATAATTGAGTTCAATGAATCGAACTAGATTCTGTCGAACTTCAATCTTGAAAATCGAAAGAAATGAATCGAGCTGCGTTCTGTCGAACTTCAATCTTGAAAATGAAAAGAACACCCTGTCGAACTTCAATCTTGAAAATGGAAAAAACACCAGAAAATCTTGAAAATGGAAAAAACGAATAGAAACAGTAACGGATGGCCAAAGGAGCAATTGGTAGCGGTGATGTGGGACCCATTGGATGGATTTGGTGCCTTTTTGCCAGGTAGCATGTGACATGGCAAAAGTTGTATGCATGTCATCACTTTTTTAAGTTTTGCTTTCCACGTCATCAAAAAAAATATTAAAAATGCCACCTCAGCAGGGTTAACGGCTCAAATTAACAGAAGGACTAACAGAGTGCATTTCGTATAGTTGAGGGATCAAAAAAGTGCAAAAAATTGTTGAGGGATCAAAAATGTTCATTTCTTAAAGTTAAGGGACCAAATTAAGCATTTAACCTTACAATTTTGCATCATCTTCTTCCTCCAGCATCTTCTTTCTCGAATCTTCCTTCATTCACACAATCAATTCAATCAAATAATCAATTTAATATCCTTCATTCACACAATCAATTCAATCAAACAATCAATTCAATATTGAACCCAACAATTCTTCATCTTAATCAAACAACCAAACCCACAAAAAAGAAAAAAAACAGAAATTTTTTTGCCCTGGATTCGAACGAACCCAGCTCTTGGGTTCTCCAGTGCCCGGATTCAAGAAGAGACCCAGCGCCTGGGTGCAAACCAAACCCAGGCACCTGGGTTCGAGAAGAAACCCAGGGCTGGGTTCGACAAACCCAGCCAGCCCTGGGTTCGACGAACCTAGCGAAGCCAGCCTTGGGTTCGACGAACCCAGCCAGCCCTGGATTCGACGAACCCAACGAAGCCAGCCCTGGGTTCGACGAACCCAGCCAGCCCTGGGTTTGACGAACCCAGCCAAGCCGGCCCTGGGTTCGACGAACCCAGGCGAACCCAGTGCCTGGGTGGGTTCGAAGGAACCCAGGCCTGCTGGGTTCCGAGGGGAAGGAGGAAGAGAAAGGGGAAGGAGAAAGAGAAAGGGAAAGGGAAAGGAGAAAGAAAAAGAAAAAAAGAAAAAAGAAAAAAAAATTTAAGTTTTATTTTTCATAATATTTTTTTATATTATTTTTTTTCCACATCATCACTTTTTTTTTCACATCATCACTTTTTATATTACTATATGACATGTCATCTGGTAACGGTTAAGTAGCATGCCACGTCACACAATTTTTAACGGAAGGACCAAATCGGGGTAAAAATGGTAAACAGTAGGGACCAAATCAACGATTTTTTTAGTCCAGGGACCAACTCGAGAGTCTGTACAATAGTTCAGGGACCAAAAAGGGGTTTTAACCAAAGAAAAACCTAGCCCAAATTCTACTTTTACACATGCACTTAACCTAGCCAAAAAAGAAAATCCCTTTTTTATAAGTCGTAATAATATCTATAATATCTTAAAGTAAACCCACCATTCAAAAAGGTAAAAAAGCAAGTTCATGAGAAGTTCAATCATACTAAATGTTTTTGCTTCCTTAAACCCTTATCTGATTCCAATTACGAAGGCTTCGGAAACCTAGGGCTCCCTCTATATACTACTAAAACATTTGATATTTCAGCAGTGGGGTTTCAGCAACTTTCTATAGGTTTACAGCCAACAACTCTGTACAACAAAAGACACAACAATCAAAACAGACTAACTTAACAAAATCAATATGTATAGGGCAAGATGGTACCAAAAAAAAAAAGAAAAAAAAAAGGAAAGACAGACCATGTTTGTTGTTTTGACAACATATGACTGTTAGAAGATCACGTACAGTGGAACAGTCCAACGAACTTCCCATAAAATCATTACTATTAAAGGTCATATAGCTTAAAGCTTCCATATCACTCTCTCAATGTGATAGGAATGGAATCTAACCAAGAAAAGAAAGTGAAACACCCCTTTATAACATTTATTAGCTAAGCTGCTAAGGTAAAAATGCTGAAATCTATCAACAAATTATTAAGGACCAATGGGACCTGTTCAGATTAAATCAACACTTCATTGGAAGGTTTGCCGATGTTGTAATACAGAGGTCAGGAAGTGAAGGCTATTTTGCTATTGATCTATGGAATTAGCTCCTCTCTAAGACAAATTAGGAAAAAAATCCATTACAACATTCTTATGTGAAAGTGGTACTAAGCATTACATTGGCCCCTTTCTTGATAATATGCTCAATTATGCCACTTTTCCTACCTATGGAGTTTGCCTCTGTTAACTTACTGACAAATAAATAAGGACCAATGGGACCTGTTCAGATTAAATAAACACTTCATCGGAAGGTTTGTAGATGTTATAAAACAGAGTTCAAGAATTGAAGGTTATTTTGCTATTAATCTGTTGAATTAGCCACTCTCTCTAAGACAAGTTTAAAAAAAAATAATTCCATTAGAGACATTCTCTTGTGAAAGTGGTCATAAGCATTACATTGGCCCCTTTCATGATAATATTCTGAATTATGCCACTTTTCTTACCTACTTTATAGTTCAGGAGTTTGCCTTTGTCACTGGTACTAAATTATCCACCTAAGTCTTTGGATTCTCAAAAGATTAAAAAAAACAAGCAAATTATTCATTATCTGACAATGACTCAGGTTCCCTAGAGCACAACCAAATGGTTATGAGCTTATCTCAAGTTTAAATCTTAAAATGGGCTGAGAGGGTCACTTTTGTAACAAAAAAAAATGCAGAAGTGGATTGCTTTCATTGTTGTTTTCATTGAAATATTGAACTTGCAATAAACAAACGTAGCACATAACATACCCACATCAAAGAAAAAGCAACACCTCACCTTTGAGGCGAACCAGCAGTCCCTTTAACTCAAATATAACCTGAAAGAAAAAGGTTGAAACCCCATGAGTTTTTAGAATATTAACTGAGTTATTTTCAGAAAACAGAGCTGATCATCTAGCTTTGTTATTTCTGGGGATGAAAGAAACAGGGGAAGAGAGAAAAGAAATTACCCATTTGGTTGACGAGTCGAATCTCAGACCCTCCACTTCCGCCATTTTTGTGAATTGTGAGGAAAAAAGGGATGCTGAGAGAGAGAGAGAGGAACTTAGGAATTGTTGGACATTTTTAATCAACCATGTTCGGTGCCCCACCTAAAGCGTAAAATCCACTCCATTCTTTAACTCTTTCTATTTTATGTTTGTACCTCACATTTCCATTGTTTAAAAATACAATAATAAATCAGTACATGCCCACCTCTTGACCCTCTGATTATTTAAAGATAAGATCTTTATATTAACATTAAAATTCTGAATTAGCTTTTCCACGCAGAGACTTTTATGTTTCCCTCTAATGTAGCTTTGAGAACTTTTGATAAGGGAATTGGGAACTCAATTAAAATTGAAAATGAAGAATGTGAAAGAATGTGAATGAGAACAAGCCATCTAAACACATTAATCTAATATGAACAATGTGGCTCTGAGCAACTAGCTATAAGCCAGTTACAGCCAAAAGGACAACTATGGTCCTGTTTCTCCGGTTTTAATTAATCATCCATGTTTATCCTTTTGGCTTTGGCAAGGACCATTGGAACCTCATCCGTTTATTTAAAAATTGCACTGCAAATTTGGCAAATGATGCTATAGTTATAAAGAAAGCTCAAGAAGTGAAGGCTAATGGCTAAGTTAGCTGTTACCAGATCATCAATTTCAAATTCCACAGAAAGATTTATTAAAAAGTAGTGGATAATTCATCATCTTCAAATGACTCAAACAACTGTACCAGCAGTAAGAAAATGGTACTTAGCATATGATGGAATTGCTCTAAAAAATCAAAACCCATCTTATAGTTCTGCATCTTGCTCTTGTTTCCTTAATGACATGGCTGCTACTAGATTATCCACTTCAGTCTTTAGATCCTCATAAAGATTAAAAGAGCAAGCAAACAAATCATCATCTACTAATGAGTCACTTGGAACAAAAACATACAAGAGAGATTTGCTTAGATTGTTGTTCCATTGAAATAAAGAGACCTAGCACATAACTTAAACACACCCACTACACAGAGAAAACAAGACCTTACCTTTGATGTGAATCAGCAGCACTTTCAACTCAAACGCCTGAAGAAAAGTTGAAAAGCCATAATATTATATAATTAGTCACATAAAACAGAACTGATATCTGGTTTTGTGATTTCTGGAGATGAAGAAACAGGGGAAGGGAGAAAAGAAATCACCCTGGTTCCGATTTGAGTCTCCAACCCGCCACTACTTTTGTGAAGAAACACAAAAAGAGTCATATATAGGAACTGATAATTTTAGTCCTACCGTACATCTCTTGAGCATTTGACTATACATTAGGGTTTATGTTTCTCTCCTAATCTACATTCGAAAGCATTTGATAAGAAAATTGGGAATTCAATTAAAATAGAAAATGAAGACTGTGATAGAAACATATATTAAGGACATCAAACTTTAGTTGAACTAAAGCCAACAGAGTATCTCAACTTCAAAGAAGTTATTACAAATTAGATGATACAAAAAACAAATGGGAGAAACAAACCATCTAAACAGATCTTTAAATTCAAAAATGAAAAAAATAACAAAATAAAATTAATAGGACAGGTTGGAATTGCTGATGAGGGATCCTGGGGTAGCTGAAAATAAATACTGGAATTTCACTTTGCAAGATGAGTCCTTGGAGTGATGAAACTCATTGAACCTAAAAAGCAATAATAGGAAGTGATTTGCTCTGTTATTCTTTTTAATCAAGTAATGAAAGTTGTTACACAAGATTAACATAAATATGTACCTACTTCTCCAAGCTGTAGGGGGAGAATGATAGCTCTCAAAACTTCAATTTTATTCACAATCTGGAGACATGCTTGGTCACCAGCAAACCAAATGTTGCTACAATTTAATAAAGGCAGTCCTTCAAGTTGCTAAGGCAGACTATCATGTTGTTGAACAACAGATGTTTCCAAGGATGATCTTACTTCACAGCTGGACTCCCACAAAACCAATGATTGCTCCTAGTTCCATACCTGATTCAAACGATTCCCAGAATTCAACTCTGCCTTCTTTGTTGTCTTCACCACCACAGTCTGTTGGTTTGCTCTTTGATTTTTCATCTTCCAGGCAAGTTGGTCTTAGAGGAAGCCCACAGAGTTCAGGGTAACAAATGCAGAAGCATCAAAGGTCTGTATTTGGGTTGATAATGGGATTCTTCCAGAAGTTGTTATGTGACAGATTCAAAGTGTTGAGAAAATTTAAAGGGGACATGCTCCAAGAAGCTGACCTAAAAGCTGGTTTTGTGACAAATCAAGTGATTCTGTCTAATCTGCCCAATATCTTAAAGAATCCTTCCTGTCAAATGATTTCTTGATAAGTTCAGCTGATGCAGTCCAAGGAGACTCGAAATAGTCTGGAATTTCTCCTGTTAATTTGTTGCTTGAAAGATCAATGATCCTCAGATTCTTGAGATTTCCATCCCCATAATCACACTCCATTCCTTTCCACATTACAGACGCTTTGTCAGCGTTAGCTTCTTGCATGAAAGAAATACTCAACAATAATTAATAAACCATGCTTACTGACTGAACTCTCTTTTTCAGTTAATGCAGTCAGATTACGTATGCACCTTGGTAAGCTTTCAGATAGACTGTCGTTGGAGAGGTCCAGTAGCCTAGTATTTGTCAACCAGCATAACTGCAAGGGCATGTCTCCATTAAAATCACTGGATCTCAGATGAATGAAAGCTAGTGCCCTTAACCTTTCTCCAATCCAAGATGCTATTATTCCAGAGAATCTATCATAACGCAAGTCCACAAATTGCAAGGCACTACAATTTCTTAAAGACCAAGGTATTTCTCCAGAGAAACTGTTCTCGCGCAAATTAATCATTTCAAGCTGGCACAGGGATCCAATAGAGCCTGGAATTTTCCCAAATAATTGATTATTAGCCAAATTCACAATTACTAGACTTGTCCATCGTGTCAATGCAATTAGGAAGCTATCCAGATAGTTGATTGTGCTAAAGATCAAGGAAATTAGGGATCATACTAGTTATGAAGGAACTTAGGGATCATACTAGTTATGGTGCAAAGCGAAGAAATTGAACTAGAAAACCTATTTTTTTGAAAGGTTTATGAATGTGACATTATGAAGGAATGCTAGTAATGGTAATGGACCCTCCATATTATTTCTACTCAAATCTATCCCAAGAGAACCAGAAATTATCAGTGACAGACCTGGCAAAATTCCAGAAATTATCGTTCCCGTAAGAAACCCCATCCGACTCTTCTCTCCACAATTTTCTCTTCTCCCCGATTTGGGGCTTTCTCTGCACTAGGGAATCGCGGGGATTGCTATGGCGGTGCTGGACCGGAGAATGGAGAGTTGCACCGGATTCCAAACCTTGGCTTTGTATTTGCCATAGAGATCGTAGAGTTCTGGACCGAGATTGTGGTCCTTGGCAATCTCAGAGATGTGAAACAGCTCAAACGGAGTTGGCGACTCATCTGGGGAAAAAAAACCAAGAATGGAGATGCCGAGTATCAATCCCCGTACCTCTCGCATGCTAAGCGAGCGCTCTATCATCTGAGCTACATCCCCGTACGCAAGGCTCGGTTCTTATTTGTGTTTTTATTTTGTTAGGCAATGACCGTTTCACTGCATTTTGGATGATCAAAGAAACATGCAAAAGTTATGATTATATTGGGAAGTAAACTAGCTGAGTGAAACACACAACTGGGAAGAATCTAGTGGCGGTATAATAGGTTATATCCCCGATTCAGTCCCTTAACTTTCATTTTTGGACTAAAATTACCCTTGAACTTCAAAAAGTACTAAAAATATCCTTAAACTTCAATTTTTGAGACCAATTTAGTCCTTCCGTCGATGGAA